AATTTCACAATAAAATAGTGATGTCAGTGTCATAATAAGGCAATTATCTATCTGCATTGTCTCTTTATATTTTTTTTTCTTCAAAAAGTGTTTATAGACTAGTAACAATCTGAAAATCCAAATATCGTACTTTAGTATTCATCAACCCTACTTTACCACAAACTTCAAAGTATTATTTTAAAATTTGTCTCCAAGAGTTTGTCACTCTATTCTCCAAAACTGATATGACATTATTAACTCTTCTGCATATCACTGGAACAAGCAAGAGGCTACAGTAATTAGGTTTAATTATTTCAGTAGCTTAAGCTCGATCCTCTAAAGACATTTATAATTTCCTCCTTAAAATGCCACAATATATCAAAGTGGTAATAAACAGCACAGCAACAGCTTTTACCACTGATCTATGTTTATTATAGTGTTTATTATTTTCCTTTATGACAGCAGATATTTTCAGCTATTTAGAAATTGCACCTATGTATAAGATACACAAAATCTCTTACTGACAAGGCCTCCAGTCCACACAAATTAATTATACTAGCCATAGAAGATTTTTTAAATCCAGTAGCCCTACAAAATGGCACCCATCACCAAAAATCAAACTGCTGTCTAAACTAAAGAATGGAATTAACAGGGTTATAACATGCTCCAGGACATCGGGAGCTTTGTATATGACTAAGGGAATTAGGTGCTTTCACTGCCATAGTATCTGAGTACCTATCACCTGTAAGCTCATTTTGAAATGTAAATTGTTTCTTGAAGTAAACTGTTAAGGCAGTTCTGTTCCAAGCAATCTGCTATAGTATTCATTGTATTAACTGATTCATTAATAGAATAGCTGAATAGATTATTCAATTTCATAGATATTTCACCCATGTAGAAAAATATTATTATACTTACTGCTAAAATATCTGCCTCCACAGGTAAAAGATTCAGGAAGGCAAACAACTGCACAGTCACAATAGTGTATATCTGAGTGGCAGACAACATCAGCATTCCTATTGACAACAGCATATTTTATTCAATACCTGCAAGAAAAGAATCAGAGTCAAAGCACAAAACAAATACTTTCCTGTGTCATTTTACAGGACTCTTGGTCACTCAAAACTTTTCTGCTAAGGAAGTATGCAAAATGTTATTTAATGTATACCTTTGAGAAACAAGTAATCTTAAAGTTATATGATGATTCTAGAAGTTACATGATTATTTTAGAAGTTCCTTTTGCCAGAAGCATGTCCTTCCATGGAGTGACAGCACATACAAACTACAAAAACTGCAATAGCAAGCCTTCAAAAGGCTTTAGGCACCACAAAGCAATGCAAGGGGTACAAAGGGAAGATCAATCACATTACATTAGTCATCCTTAGACACTTCATTTTAAACTTCCCTTCTTCTAGCACAAATCCCAATCAGCAAAACTCCTGATGTACCTTGAATAGTTCCACTAAAAGTACTGATTCCAAAAATACACTTGCAAAAGCAATGTGATATCAACTTGAAGGAACTTCAGATTTCCCTCAGGCTTCGCTACAACATGACTGTGGGCAAGCAACCCCTTAAGAACACAGAAGGCACAGAAGTATCTTATTCCCTTTATAAAATCTCACACCTGAACGGGATCAAGTTCAAAACCCCAACATTCAGAATTTAAATACACATGATCCAGTATACCTCTTACTCATGAGTACAAAACAAGCAACAATGAAGCATTACATTCAGCAGGAAATGTAACCACTTTCACTCCTGAATGTAAGAGAATTGGATGGTCAACACGTCTCAATCTCTCTAGAGATTCTTCCAGCCTCAAAGTAAGAAATGACATAAAATAGTCACAACACAAAACAGTGGGTCCATTTCTGGGACCAACATAGCTATAAGAATTAAAATAATTAACAGACAAGTTCAAAAGTGGACAGTATGCACCTAATGTAATTATCTGAACATGTGAATCTCCTGTACCTTCTTTTACTGGAGTAATTAAAAGTACTTCACAAAAAACTCGCTTAGGTCATCCAAAATGTTAGTTGAAACAATTTTTTGTCAAAAACCCCCAAACTGTGTCTTCTTATACAAATGGATTCATGTGAATTTGTTTTCATTTGTAGATATTTCTTCTGAAAACTGTTGACATAGAACTGAGAAATCACAGCCAACCCTACTACTTTTTTTTTCAGAATTAAGAAAAGTGTAAGAATTCCTGTCCTTCTGACCTATTCTTCATGAGTTTTTCAAGCAAAAAGCATTGTCCCATGATGTGAGGTTCTCACATTAATTAAAGAAAATACCAGAGAGATAGACTTGATTTAAACTAACATGAAGATAATTAGAATTTATTGTTGGTATTTGGAGGAAACAGCTGATACCGATACATTCAACTGTAGTATTGAAAGTTTTGTTACTGTGTTCTCCAAAACTGATACGACATTAACAACTCTTAACGTTGTTAATTAACAACATGATTCCAACTTGGTCAGAATCAGACCTATAATGCTTTGTGAAATTTTCAACTGGTTCACAGAAATTAAGTTACACTCACAGGAAAGAAATAGTAGTGAGTTACAAAATTAATGGATTTTTATTACTAAATTAAGATTATCACCTTCTCTCATCAGCCTGCCTTAAAAAAGAGGACATCAGTGAAACTGGAATGATAAAAGAACCAATGTTTCAAAAATACAGCCATTTTTACTACGGCAGAAAACAACAATACACTTGAAGCTACCAGAGCACTTTAACCAACACAGTAAATCCAGCACAGAAAAAAGCACTACAAGAGTATTAAGCAAGGTTAGAAAACACAAGAATTAAAGTGGTCCTTGCAAACAAAATGCATATAGCGTGCACTCTTCCCCTTCAAAGTTACACGCACACAAATTCTTCTGTGCTCAGGATCTGCTGCCTCAAATGCAAGTCAGAAAGCCTTACAATTCCTGAAATTCCAAGGCTCTTTGGGAAGCATGCCCCTCTCAGCTGAGGGAGGCAGCTCAGAGCACACAGAAATGCAGGTGTGTGGAAAAGGGCTATACTGTAAACCAAACAAAACAAGTCAAACCTGACTTCGCAGTAAGCTTCCACACTTTTACACCTGATTTATTTTACCAGTGTGTACAGACAAAGTTGCCCTTAAATAACTTTGAGTATTTATTTCCACTCTCCATGCTAGAACGCAGAAACTGAACTGTACCTCAGGTGTTGCATCCCTCTGTCATTGGTCTGAAATGAGGAGGGGAAAATGTGGGGTGTACTGGACCAGCACAGCTATGAGTAGCAAAACACCCTGGAGTAAAGATACTAAGCACATACAAGACAGAGGTCACAAAGACCTTACAAAACACGAGACAGAGACAAGAACTTTCACAATTTTTGGCAAATATGCACAGATCAGGCTTCACAAACTACACCTAAATATGAAATTTTCTGATATTTGTATCTCAATCAACTCAAAATGTGTTTCAGAGCATATTACAACACAAAGCAATCCCATGTTCGTGTGGTTGTGCTTACATTTTAACTCTATCAATAAACCAGCTTTTCCCTCCCGCTTCTGAAAAAAAATAACTTGTACATCAGTATGAAACAAATCTAAATTCTAATATTTTAAAGCCAAATGTGATTGTAAATCTTACAGCAATCACAAAAAAAAACCCATACGAACATACAGAAACTTTGTAACAAATTCCAAGTATTTTAGAAGATTGCGCTGCATTTCCAAAATTTCCTAAGCAGAGGATGAACAAAAACTAGACAGCTAAAAACAGTCATTCTCAATCACATCCTTTAAACTCCCCATATCTGAATTATTGCATTATGCCATCATATCATTACTGACACAAATCTCCATCTCAGCCCTACCACAAAACTGGACCCTGACGCAAGCAAAGTAAGATCGGCATTCACACCCGTTAAGACGCAGAAACAATTCTTCTCAATTTATTTTAACATTTTTAGTAAGAGCCTGGCTTTCAGCCAGTCAGACTTCACAATGCTCTTTATGGTGCAAACCCAGCCAGCAGCTCCGCTCAGCCTCGGGAATCACACACGGAATCGCACACCCGGCAGAGACGGAACGCGCGACCGGGCTCGCGCTTCCACCGGGCCGAGCGCTCCAGAGCCTCCGCTCCGCTCCGCTCCGCTCCGCTCCGCTCACCTCCCTCCCGCGGCTGCCGGCAGCGCCGGCACCGCGGCCGCTGCGGCCGGGCTTAGCCCCAGCTGGGCCTCGAGCGCCCGCGGAACCGGGCCCCGCCTCGCCCCTCCACAGGTGGAGGCGAATAAGCACTGCGCCATGGAGCAGCAGGCCTATGAGCGTTCAGGCGCGGTGCCCCGGTGCTCATCCGCGGCCCGGGGCACCGCCCCCGCTCACCCTCGGCCCGGGGCACCGCCCCCGCTCACCGGCGGCCCGGGGCACCGCCCCGATGCTCACCCGCGGCCCGGGGCACCGCCCCGATGCTCACCCGCGGCCCGGGGCACCGCGCCCGCTCACCTGCGGCCCGCGGCCCCGAGCGGCCTAGGCCGACGCCATGGCGCGCTCCGTGCGATCGCCGCCGCGCCGGAAGTCCCGCCCGCCGCCGCACCGTGCCGGGCGGCGGCCCGCGATAGCCCATTGGTCACATCGGCTGTCACTCAGTGCGGGGGGCGGGCCCGGCCCCGCCGGGGCGTGGCTCCGCAGCGGCTCCCGCCCCGCCGCCAGGGGGCACCCGGCGCCACCGGGGCCCAAGCGGAGCCTCCGGGAACGCCTCGCACATCTGGGGCATATCCGGGGCACATCTGGGGCACATCTGGGGCAGGGCTGAGGCACGGCTGGGTCACATCTGGGGTACACCTGCGAGACCTGTCACTGCGTCCGTCCCCGGTGCAGCCCCTCGGGCGCTCTCCCGTAGCTGCGCGAGCAGATCCCGGCCCCGCTGCCCCGGGACAGCTCTTGGGAGCTGCCGCCCCCCAGGCTGTCCGCGGCTGTCCCCGCGGCCCCGCCCCGCGCAGGCGCCTGCGGGGCGCCGCCCCTTCCCGGTTGTGTGCGGGTGGCGGAGCCGCGGCGATGCTGCTGGTGCTGTCGGCGGAGCACAGGGCGCACCTGGGCTGTTTGCCGCGGGCCGGCGGCGCAGGTCGGGGCCGGGACGGGTCCGCGGGCGGGGGGAGCCGAGCCGGGCGGGGCTGCAGGGGCAGTCTGTTCTCTCTCTGTCCTTACAGCCCTTGGCGAGCTGGGGCGCCTGGCGCTGGAGCAGCTGCGGCGGGGAGCGGCACCGCGGGCCTGCGAGTCCGCTGCCAGTGAGAGCCGGGCCGGGGAGCGGGCGGGGAACGGGGGGAGCGGGCGGGGAGCGAGGGACCGGGGAACGGGCCGGGGAGTGGGGATAGTGGGCTGGGGACCGAGGGGAGCGGGGGGGAGCGGGGGGACCGCGTGGCGCCGGGCCGTGGGGAGCGGACCGGGCCGTGGTGGTTTGGCGGCAGGAGGGCGGAACGCGGTGGGCTCTGCGCCGGCCACTGAGGACCCCCAAGTCCCCGGGGCGCCGCGGAGCGGGGCCGAGGGAACGGGCTGGCGGCACGGAGCTCCAGCCCCGCGGGGGTCGGTGCTTCGTGCCCGCTGTGGGGTGGGCTACGGACATCCCTTTTCCAACACAAACCCTTCTCTGTACCATGCCATAAGAAATTGGTTTGTGTTTTTCTTAGTTTTTTTTTTTTTTTCCGCTAATATGCTGTACATTGTTATTTAAATGTTGCAAAACTCTCTTTTTTTTTTTTTTTTTTTTTTTTTTTTTAATTTTTTTTTTTTTTTTTTTTTTTTTTTTTTTTTTTTTTTTTTTTTTTTCCTAAGCATATTTTGCACGTTAAGCATTGGGTAAATTTGCAGCTTTGAGTCTCACTGCTGCGGCAGTTAGCAAGTAAAAAGCACTTTGTGCTTTCTTTAAAGGAAAGCTGAACATTAGCGTTGACATCATTCAGCACGGGGTAGAAGGACTAGTGTATCTTCTTACTGAGAGTTCCAAGCTTATGGCAAGTATACTTTTTCATGAGGAATTTGGGGATACACTCAAGAAATGTCTTCTGGACACTTAGACCTCTAAAAATACTGGGAATGGGGAAAACATAGCTCAAAATTTAATGATGACAGGTGTTGTTTTAGTTTCAGAAGAGGTGTCTCATGGTTGTCTCATTGAAACATTGGGTCTCCATGTATGACTCTGGAATTTGTATTCAGTAGCTAAAGCTAAAACTTGACAACATTTTAATAGAGTAATTTATTACATATAGAGAAGCTTACTTCAGGATAAGCTCTAAATAATAAAACATAAATGAAGAGTTTGTTGTTCAGCTACTGCACAGGACGTGGGCTAGACTAGTCCCCTGTTCAGCATTCCTTGTCTTTTTCCAGTGTGGTGGGTTTGAGAGCTTTTTCAGCTCTTGGCATCAAAAGTTTGAGTGGGTATAAACAGATACTAAAAGATTAGTAGTTGGACAATTACTGTTTCCATCAGAAAGACTAGTAACTATTGATATAGTAGAATATTTGAGCAATGACTACATGGAGAAGGGATACAGAGACAAGGAATGCCAGATTAAACTCAGGCAAGTGTTGCTGCCAAGAGTAGGTGGGGAGGGGATGGAAATGGTGCAGAGCCTTTCCTTGAAACAAGGGCTCTTGACTGTCAGGTTACAGTGTACTGTGGTAGAACATGGTTGGTTACAGACTTATCGCGGGGTGATGCTTTGCAGAGGTACGAGTGTGTTTTCTCTGGAGTGTGTAACAGCTTCCCCAGTGCTGGGCCGGGCTGCTGCAGCAAGCACAAAGGCCTGAGGAGCTTCTTCTGCCCTTGGGACAGGAGCCTGAGCATGATGCTGTGTGCTTCTCATGTGCAGATCACTGCTGCGTGTTTGTAGTCTGATTATCTGGTGACAGGGTGCACAGTAGCACCCTGACAGATGGAGTCACACAGCATGTTGTGCCTTGTGACACAACTGAGGTGCTCCCTCATGCTGTTTTGGTCTTTGATGTGAAGGCTTACTTGTGAGGGGGTTGAGTGTTCTTTAAACACACTGTTTCTGAATCTCATACAAATCTGCAGTAACACATGAACATCTGTAGATCCTTTAAAACCTGGATATTTGTTTTGTCCAAGGTGTAGAATTGTACTTGGACATTCTTGCAAGAAAATAACTGCACCATAGCATGTGTGATGTTTAGTTACAATTTTATGTGGTTTTCAGGAAATGATTACCTGGCCTAAATTGTTATTTCTAGATTTCTGAGGTTGACTTCCAGGATTCCATTCATGTTTTGGGATTCTCAGATGAATTGAACAAATCCTTGCTCCAGCTGTACCTTGACAACAGGAAAGAGATCAGGAGCATTCTTGGAGAGCTGGCACCAAGGCTTCCCAGCTACCATAGTCTGGAGTGGAGACTGGATGTGCAGGTGACTTCCCTGATGTTTTTAGTATTCCATCCTTTCCTTCACATAGTTTTTGCATAATAAAAACCTGCTAAACAATGTAAAAACAATTGAGGCAGCAGTACTTCATGTATTTAAAAGTGACATGACTTTGTTAGTATCCCACAGACAGCCAGCTGTGAGATGAACAGGATATGCAATGATGCAAAGTACTTGTTGCCTGATGAAAATTGAATTCATGCTTCTGTTGATGTTTTTAAAATATTAACATATAACAATCATATTTGGTCTTGATTATCACCTTGTTTTCAGAAATATTCTGAAAGCATTGATTAAAGTGGGTTAGTATTCCTTAATTATAAAACACAATAGTAGCTTGTGTGTATCTTTTAATGTGGGTGAAAAGGGTTTCTGAACAGGTTCTACAAAGCTATTGAGAACTGTTAAGAACAAACATTGATAACCAATTATCATTTTCCTGTTCTTGTTCCACTGAACCCCTCCTGCAGCTTGCAAGCAGAAGTTTGAGACAACAGATCAAACCTGCGGTGACTATGAAGCTGCATCTTAATCAAAATGAAGATCAAACTGCCCAGGTGTTGCAAACTGACCCTGCTACCCTTCTCCACCTTATCCAGCAGCTGGAGCAGGCGTTGGGGGAGATGAAGATGAACCACTGCAGAAGAATAGTGCGCAACATGAAATAACCCTGGTTCTCCTCCGCTCTCTTACTAAGCAGTTTGTGAAAAAAACTCAAAACACTTCTCACAAATACATTTTGAGGAAAAATAAACATCTGGGTCAGATGAACTGTTTTCCTGTGCCAGGATCTTGAGCCAGTATATACTGGCCAAATATCCTTGGCTGCCAGCTTTGCACATCTATATGTGGTGACCTTTTTCACACAATCATCTTCACATATAGTACATGGTAATTAAATGGGATCAAATATTACTACTTGGGATTTTTGACTGGTATTTTTAATGTAAATTATCTCTGTTTTCAGGTGAAACACAAGATTGGCCGATACATAGATGAGTGGTTTCTCTCATTCCATCTCTCCTCACTATAGCCATAGTCTGGAACTCAGGGCAGCAAAGCAGAAGTTTTAGATAGAGATCTTAGAAACCTTCTGTGTCGTCTCACTACTGCCTGATGAATCTGAACATACTTGCCTTTTTCTCTCGTAAACATTTTAAAAAATCCAGCTGCTGTAGAGCTGATTGGCATCACAGTGAGTGCTGGCAGTCTATATGTGGGTCATATACTGAAGCATGTGCCAACTGAGAAGGGGGAGGGTTTTCTTTGGGCATTCTGAGTAAAATGGTCAGTTGAAAGCAGGTGTTGAGAATGCAGAATGTCACTGGAGAGCCTGCGTGTTCCTTTGTGCAGTGTTTTGCAATATCGAAGAAGGAAAAGCTGCAAAACTGAATGGTTTTGTTTCCTTTTACAAAAAATTACCTCAACTAAGGATGGTCAAAGGTAAACTTGGAAGCTGGTGAAACTGAGAGAAGTCAAACTCTGGCAGTGATCCACAAACAGATTCGAGGTGAGAGGGGAGGCAAAGATCCTTTATGCCCAACGTCTTACTTTTAAATTGTACCTTTCAGTTTGTTCTGAAGTACTAGGGGAAGTACTAGGCCTGGAAAAGCAGCTGCTCGGCAGCAGGATTTGGGCTTAATTATTAGAAAAGCAGATTTGCCTTTAGGTGAGGTTGGAACTGGTCTACACCCTGCAAGTTCTTGCTTCTCTTGTCTTCACAGCATCCAGGGCAGCTACTGAGGGCTTAGCACTTCCAGCCCACTGGTGAGTGTGACTGCACAGCAAGCAGCACTGACTAGTGGTGCCTCTGTATGGCAGGTGAGGCTGGGAGTGAAAAGGCACATGTGTCAGTAGCCCAGAGATACTAGTAAAGTAGGAATTCACCCTTGGATACGGACTTGGATTTTGTTGTAAACTCCCAAATTAAAGGTGGCATATAAAGCTACATTTAATGCATCTTCTCTAATTATTTTGCACTCGCTTTATGGAAACCCTTGGACATGACAAGACTACAAAGCATTTTTCACAAGCTACTGGAAAAAGGTTACGGTGCTGCTTTTAACCCATTTTATTTTTAATGGGGTTTTAAAAATTTACTGCTGTTCCATTGTGTTCTTTGTTCTCCATCACCATTTAGTTCAGAGGAATACAAGTTTTCTGTTCCTGTATGGCTGCTCACAGATGGATACGGAGCACCCAGCTGTAGTTACTACTTTCTCAGAGTCTCCTTGCACAGAGCAAACCCAAAGCAGAGGCAGAACCATCCCAGGCTGCGCTGTGTGCTGGTCACTTGGTTACTGAGAAAGAGCAAGGTTTGCCCAGGGACCCTGAATGTTTTATTTTATCACAGACATCACAGGTATTGCTTCAGCTATGTGGGTTTTCTCAGAAAATTGTTAATCTATGAAGAGCTTTGATGTAGAGCAGTGATAGATCTAGATTAAAAACTACATGTGATATTTCTTAAGTCGTTTGATGCTCATCATACAAGGGTACTTTTAAAAGTGCACTTACTTCTAAGCTGTTTGCTTGGGTTTTCATTGAAGAAGAGATTGAACTTGCTGCTAGAAAATTCACAACAAAAAGGGTATATTCATAGTACTGGGCTTTATAAATCCTTCAGATGAACACAAAACCTCTGTACTACTCAAAAACATTTGAGCACTATGTGAAATTGAGATAAAATAATGTTATTGTCTTATCTTTTTTACAATGTACATTCTTGAAAAGAGAACAAAGAAATAATGATAAGGAACTTTCTATGTCACACTTGTGATTTGGTTTCTTTATCACTTAATCCAACCCCATTGTGATGGAACCCTCATCTTCCACAGACAAGCATATTGAGTCAGTTGCCCTGAAAGCTGGTGGTCTTTTTTTTTTTTTGGTCCAAATAAGGAAGTTAGTATTTCTAAATGAAGACTAATGACAACAATACTATGAAAATTTATTCTTACAGTCCTAATCACTTCCAAATTATTGGAGAAAAATCTTTAGCCTATACCAAGTGGTACAATAGCAGATAATTGTATTATTCAGTAAAAAATGCAGCTGAAATACATCTTGTTGAAGAAGACAGCTCTAATTGTAATAAATGTGGTTTAAGTTTAGGACAGATGTGTATGTACTTATCTGTAAAATGCCATGCTCATGAAAGTGGTCTAATTAGCATAGATGAGATGGCCCGTTGCATGAGATTGTCAAAGCCTTCCCTGGAATGGACCTGTCACCTGGAAGGGAATGGAACAGGTAGAGAGTGTGTGGTTTGTCTTTACTCAAAGATAGAGAGCCCTGAAAACTAAAAACACCCTTTTAAAGGCTGTATGAAAAATCACTCATGTTCAGATCATTATCTGTGCAACAACCATATGCACACATACCCAGAATCTCATATGCAAAGGATTTAAATAAGGATATTGCTGGAAAGAAAAAAAGATACGTGATGCCCGCCTAGTCCTGGAGCAGGTGCTGTGATTAGCAGTGCTCTTTGAGCTTGTTGCAGCAAGGAGCCCAGTATGAAGCAGTAGAAGAATGGTACAAAAATTCTTTGGGAAGGGAAATGCAAACAAGTCTCAGGAGTACTGGTTTTCCTGATCAGAAACAGCAGATGTCAGGAAAAATAACAACAACCAAAAAAACCCCAAAAACCCTCAATAACAACAAAACCCCCAGACCCTCACAAAAACAAAGAACAATAAAATAAACCTCGAGGAGATCTGCCAAGCCAATGGAAATATGAACAGGAAATGTGATGAAACATAACTGACAAGGAATATTTGTTGAAGCAAAGCCATCATGAAATGCACACGATCTGTTTCACAGAGCTAGCTGTAGTTTGTGTACAGCTTTAAACTGCAACTCTGAGAATCTACATAACCATCATTATATGTAACATTGATTTGAGGGACAAGGATTGTTCAGTCAGGCCCACATTCTCCACTAGAGAAGCCAAATTAAGTTTAGAGAAGTTCATGCTTCTTTTAAAGAAATAAGGAATAAAGTTCAGGAAAAAATTACATCCTTAAGACTTTTTTAGTGTAGATTCTGATTACTGAGGAGGGTGTATTCTTATCAATCAGCATAGCCTGGAGTCTGTCCAAAACACAGAAATAAAATAACAAAATGCATTTGTTTTGCCAGTGTGTGATATCTCCGTGTGTAGTCATAAAAAGAGTGAATGCTTCCCTCTGTAAAAGCCAACACTTAAGTTGGAAAACAATATTAATCTTTATAGACACAGCTTCTGAATTTAAACAATTTTTGGTCACACTGCCATTCAAAAGTTACTCCAAGTTCACCAAAAAATTAGACAAGATTAAAAAAACAATTGTATTTATTAATTATAGGAAACCTCAGGTTTGTATTTTGACAACAGCTTTCGTTTCTAGTATAGGCTAAATCAAAGATAAGTGACTGAATGGGCGGTCAGCAGAGATCCACAAAGCTTGACGCCTGCATTTGAACTACCCCTATGGACAGTGAGCTGGAAGGACCTACGATAACAGCTCTGCACAGGACTCCTACTTGAGAGCAAAGGGCCAAACCTTTTCGAAATCACAGCGAAGTGGTTGCTGTCCGTGTCACTACGAATGCTTCATTCCTCCCCACAGCATTATTAAATCATGCAATTAAACTTGTACGGGAACCAATTTAAGCATTATTTTGCTTCCAGAAATTAGTATCGCCCATTAACTTTCTGAACAACGGTTTTGGAGCAAAGCTCCTTAGCTCGGCAGAGACAAAGGGGTCCGAAGGCTCCCTGGGCACCACGAGCTGGGGCTGGACGGGGGCAACGGCTCCCCGCGGAGTCCCAGCGGCGAACGGAGCAGCCGATGCCCCGGCTGGGAGCGGCACAGCGAGCACGGTGCGACAGGGGGCGAGGGCGGGAGAGCTCCCATGGCCCGGCCTCGACGCCGTCCCGTGCCAAAGTTTCCGCGGCAGTTGCATAACTGCGGGCGGGGCGGCGCCGGGGCCGGGCTGGAGCCGCCGGGGCCGGGCTGGAGCCGCCGGCACTGCCCCGTCCCGGCGCTGCCCCGTCCCGGCGCTGCCCCGGCCCGGCGCTGCCCCGTCCCGGCGCTGCCCCGGCCCGGCGCTGCCCCGGCCCGGCGCTGCCCCGTCCCGGAGCTGCCCCGGCCCGGCGCTGCCCCGGCCCGGCGCTGCCCCGTCCCGGCGCTGCCCCGGCCCGGCGCTGCCCCGGCCCGGCGCTGCCCCGGCCCGGCGCTGCCCCGGCCCGGCGCTGCCCGCCGCGGGGAGGGCGCCGCGCTACCCGGGGCCGCCCCGCCCGCCCGGGACACCGGCGCGGCTGGCGGGGGCGCAGAGGCACCGTCCGCCCGCCTCGTCCGCTCTGCTCCCGGCGAGCCCGCCCGCTCCGGAGGGCGCGTCCTTGGCGGCGGCCCGGCAGCGGGGCCGGCCCCGGCCACCGCCCGTCCCGGGACGGCTGCGCCCGCCGCCGGGCCGGAGGGGCGGACAATGAACCCCGCGGCCGCGGCCCCGCCGCCGGGGCAGCAGGTAATCCACGTCACGCAGGACCTGGACACGGAGCTGGAGGCGCTTTTCAACGCGGTGATGAACCCCAGGCCCAGCTCCTGGCGGAAGAAGATCCTGCCCGAGTCCTTCTTCAGGGAGCCCGACTCGGGCTCGCACTCGCGGCAGTCGAGCACCGACTCGGGCGGGCCCCCGCCGCGCCTGGCGCCCGTGCACGTCCGCTCGCACTCCTCGCCCGCCTCGCTGCCCGGCGCGGGCGCGGCGCCGCAGCACGGGCACCTCCGGCAGCGCTCCTGCGATGTGGCGGACGAGCGGCCGCTGCCGCCGGGCTGGGAGATGGCGCTCACGCAGACCGGGCAGCGCTACTTCCTCAAGTGAGTGCGGCGGGGAGGCGGCCGGGCCCCGCAGCGTTCGCGGGGCGCTCGCCGGGAGGGAGCTGCGCCGTGAGGCGGCGGGGTGGCCTCCGGCTCCGAGGCGTATGCGGCATTCTGGGGGGAAAATCCCTTCCCGGTGGCAGGAGGGAGGCGAGGGAGAAGTCGCATTTCTTTCCTGTTTGGCCACACGTCCAAGATTCTGATTTTTTTTTTTTTTTTTTTTTTTTCAAGTTCAGAAACAGTTAGTCCAAGTAGTTTCTGGAAGGTGAGAGCAGAGCTCTGCATGTCCGTGACCCAGAAAGGGCTGTGGAAGGCTGGGAGCTGCCCGGCCCGGCTCCGGCCGCGGCGTGCCTGAAGCATCCCCGTCTGCGGGGACGCAGCAGGAGCTCGCCTTGTTTAGCGACTGGTTCTCAGAACTGTGGTAACACGACTGCCGATATCTCCTCTGCCCGGTCATTTTCGCCAGAGTGTTTTATTTATGACAATTGACATTTGATTCAAAGCCGTTTAATAGGCCTGAAAATACATAATAGCTGTAATAAGCAGTAAGGCAACAGTGCCTTATTTTCGTAGATTCTGTACGCCAGCTAGAGATTCATTGCAAACTGAGTCATACTGCATTAACTTGGTAAATAAGATAAAATGTTTGTTAATAAAATAAAACATTTACTAATGAAGTATCTACCTGAGGATATTGAGGGAGTTAAACTGCCAGGGCTCCAGGATGTCCTTTACTTGCTCACTACAGCCTTCTTGATCAGAAGAGTTAAAATCTTGAAATCACATATGTTCACCCATGTGTGGGTATTCAGACATCATAAATGTCATATAAACAATGTGTGAGGGGAAAATGAGATAAAACTGTTTAGAAAAGTGAAAAAAAAATTTACTTGATTGTATAATGACTTCTTTGCCTTGTGGGTTTGGAATCTCTAATGGATTACTCAAGAGCCCAGTGTCTGAATAACTCTGCAGAGTTTAGATTTTTTGCCTTTTGTCACATTTCTGAGCTACCAGCAAAGCATGTAAATACCTTTCTGTATGTCACTGCATGCTTTTTATGATACTGTGTGCATATGTCCCAGGGTTCAAACATAGACGTTTTTTATTTATCTGGTTTATCACCTAAATGAGAAGATTTTGTGTCTGCACTTTGCATGTATTTTTCTTAATAGAACAAGCTACAGAGAAGTAGCTGAGTGACAGGAACACTGTCACAGGCCATTCATAAATAATTATTCAATATAAATTCTTGCTAGGGTTTGGCCAGGGCGTGTTTTCAGCTGCTTCTGGCTAAAAATTCCCTAATATAATCCTTGTATGCTCTGTGTTTTTTGACTGATATCAAAATGAGCTCATGTGGTTTCACCTTCCTGTCATGCATTTCTGACCCAGAGGTAGAGTTTTCCAAGTCATTAGGTTCTTGTTGCTTAGGCCAAAAATACAAAGCCTTCAGTAAATGAAAAGCGTAGGTAAAAACTTCAAGTGGTTTTAATTTTTTTTCCAAATCCTGTCAACAGTAATACTTTGATTAACAGCATCCTTTTTAATATAAAATACAATATGCATTGTGTTTGTAATTTGTTACCTAAATTAATATTTGTTTTGTTTCCCCAGTTTTATCTGCCCAATAGAACTTCTCTTGTTTATATAAAAATTAATTGGAATAATGCATTTCTTTATACCTTTAATGTATTTTGTTATACCCCAGTGCTTTGGGGAGTAATATTTAGCTATAAAATGCTCGCACATGATTTATAGTATTTTACAAATGGTGTAATATTCTTCAGGTGAAAATATAATTTAAGATTGATTATGGAAAGCAGCATTTAAAGCTGTGTGCAATAAAATAATAGAGAATTTGAATCAGGTGATGTGCTAAAAATCATATTTGATTAAGCT